GCAAACAGTTGGATTCTTGTTTTTTAGATCCAGTCAGTCAGTCTGCATCTTTTAGGTAAGAATTCAGATTATTTACCTATAGGGATATTATTGAAAAGTAAAGATAAATATTGGTTTTGTCGTCTTTTTTTTTTCCTGATTGTTTTGAATGATCTATGTTAGTTTCCTTTTCCCTTGATCATCTGAAAGGTTTAATGTTTTACTGAATTATTCATGCTGGAATCCATCTTAATTCTCATTTGTTCATATACTCTTCTAGTAAGATTTATTCTTTCCTGTGCTCTCACAATTGTGTTTGTCTTGCTTTGTCTTCTGTGTATAGGACTCTTTTTAAGTATCTTCTGCAATACTGGCTTATTGCTCACAAATTCCTTTGGTTTCTGCTTTTCCTTGGAGTCTTTTGTTTCACCTTAGATTCTGAAAAACAAATTTACTATAGATAGTAATCTAGCAGTTTTTTAAAAATTTTCCTGGCTTGAGAAACATTATTACATACTTTTTTGTTCTTTAGATTTTCTTCTAAGAAGATTGTTTACCTTTATGAGCAACTTAGTGTTTCTCTTTTGTAACTTTCAATATTTTTTCTTTGATCTATACTTTGTTAGTTTGACTAATACATGAGGAGATACTTTCCTGGCTATCTCTATTTTGGGTTTCTAAATGCCTCCTGTACCTGGATGTCTGTATCTTCTCCAAGATTTGGGAAATTTTTTATGAGTTCACTGATTATGTTTTCTTTGCCTTTGGCCTATACCTCAGCCCCTTTCTCTAACCTGATTATTCATAGGTTTGGTCTCTTAATTGTCCCATAAATCTTGTATGTTCTGTTCATATTTTTTTTCTTTATTACTGTCAGAATGTGATAATTCATTGATCTTGTCCAGAATCCCTTCTATTCTTTCTTCCACTTCATCTAGTCTATTTTTGAAATTTCACTGGAGTTTTTGTTTGGCTTATTGAGTTTTTCATTTCCAAGATTTCTTTTTGGTTCTGTTTTAGAATCTCTACCTCTTTTTGTTGAAATGATCTTTTATATTCTGTATTATGTGCCTTAATTCATTCAGCTGTTTATTTGTATCCTCTTTGAAATCACATTAGAAATCAATCTTTTGAATTCTTTGGAATTTTATTCACTTTGAATGTCTTTGGGTTCAGTTACTGAAGAGTTATGAACCTTTGGAGAAGTCATGTTGTTTTGTTTTTCATATTTCTTGTATCTCTCTACTAAGATTTGCACATCTGTTGGAATAAATATCTCTTCTACTTTTAAGTAAGGATCTTCTTAATGAGCAGAATTCTCTGGAGGGCTCAATTCCCAGTACTACTCAAATAAAAGAACCATGGTAACAACAACACAGCAAAGAGAATCTTGTGATTACAGCATTGGGTTCCTTTTCTCCTGGAGTCAGGGGTTGTGGACAATTTTGTACTTTTCTCTGAATTGTCATTCTGCTTCTATGTGCTTCTTTTTCCTATCACCTCTTTCTTAATTCCTATAGCTCTTCCTTTTCTTTCTCTCCTTGGAATATAGTTTCTACTTTTTTTGTTTTTAGCCTTGACTCTTCTTACCACAGATGAATGGGAAGGATACTTCTATTTTACCCAACTCTAGTAGTTTTTAAATCTCTGTAGATAACTCCATTATCAGTCTGGGTTTGTTTTTATTGTTC